ATGTTCTACATAAACATGATTGTAAAGATGGTTTGATAATAGATTTGGATACTACATAAGGTGTCATGTGTTAGTGTTGAAAACTTTTTAGGTATAAAATATGAGTTGTGCATTGATTATCGTAATATGAAAATATATATTCATTGGGGTTGCATTATGGTGAAGTAGCCTTTATAAGTTTATGTAGGATAAAAGTGTTTTATGTGGTGCAGCAAAGGCTCTTGAGATGAATGTATCTTCATATTAAGTCTTTTGCCCATGTTTTGCACAGTTTATCTCAACATTGCCAATGAGGTCGATTATAGATTTTTTTTTTTAACACTTTCAAGTTCCTTCTTGGTGATCACATTAGAGCAATGCTAGTCGAATTATTAAACTCTGGATAAAATTGAAAAAGAAAAAGAAAAAACTCATGGGATAAGTGAATATCAATGCACTTTGTAATGTCAATTTGTCAACAGGATTGTCAATGTAAAAGTACTGCATATGTAAATTGTATGCCAGCACCCTTTTATAATTTCAAATTGTCAACAGGATTTTGACATCTCTGAACGTTCTGTGCTGTACAATGTTGATGAAGCAACAGTTCGAAGCCTCAATGGGTGCAGGGTTGCTGATCAAGTTCTGAAACTTGTTCCAAATGCCGAGGTAAGCACAGGTTCTAACCCCAACAAGTCATCCAACTATCATTGCTTTCAATGATATTCATTCTTTATACTATTTGTAGCACTTCCGGACAACACTTAGATGTTTGAAATTTTGGGCAAAAAGGCGTGGCGTCTATTCAAATGTAAGTTGAATCTTCACTGCTAATCCAGTTTCTGTATAATAATGGTATTTTCCATGACATACCTTTTTATTTTTTATTTTTTAATTTTTTTCTTTTTCTACTGGCTCTTGGTTAGGTCACTGGATTTCTTGGTGGCGTAAATTGGGCCCTTTTGGTTGCCCGTGTTTGCCAGTTTTATCCCAATGCAATACCTAGTATGCTGGTTTCACGGTTCTTTAGAGTCTATACACAATGGCGCTGGCCAAATCCTGTGATGTTATGCCCTATAGAGGAGGCTGATCTTGGGTTTCTAGTTTGGGATCCTCGCAAGAATCCCAAAGATCGAACTCATCATATGCCAATAATTACTCCTGCATACCCTTGCATGAATTCTAGTTACAATGTTTCACCAAGTACTCTTCGTGTTATGATGGACCAGTTCCAATTTGGTAACAAGATTTGTGAGGTAAGACAGAAGTTTGATTTAACTTTTATGCCTTTCCTCTCTTCTGGCTGCTCATTTTGATTGGTGGTTCTGTTTTCTTGTTTATTTGTATAACTAGGAGATCGAGTTGAACAAGGCACAATGGGGTGCCCTTTTTGAGCCTTATCTTTTCTTTGAGGTGTACAAAAACTATCTTCAGGTTGACATTGTTGCAGCAGACAATTATGATTTGCTGGCTTGGAAAGGATGGGTTGAATCACGGCTTAGACAACTTACACTTAAGGTGGAAAAGATGTTCTAATAAATTCAAACATGTTCATGAGAATACTAGTGCAAGATGCTTTGAGGCTGTTGTATTTGTTCTTTGCCTCTTTGATATCCTTCACATAGGACGCTTTTCCCAGGATGGAAATTTATGTGTGCATTTCGTGTTTTTGCAGATAGAGCGTGACACAACTGGAATGCTGCAATGCCATCCTTACCCAAATGAATTTGTGGACACATCTAAGCCATGCCCTCATTGCGCATTTTTCATGGGTTTGCAGAGGAAACAAGGAGTGCAAGTGCAAGAAGGACAGCAGTTTGATATTCGTGGAACTGTTGATGAGTTTAAACAAGACGTAAGCATGTATTCTTATTGGAGACCAGGGATGGAAATATATGTCTCTCATGTACGTAGAAAGCAAATTCCTGGTTATGTATTTCCTGAGGGATATAAGAGACAGCGGCTGTCTAGGAATCCAACTCCGTGCAATACTACTCCTGAGAAAGATGCCAAATGCTGCAAGTCTCCTGAAGACCGGCATCCAAAGAGGAAGCATGAAAATGAAACAGTTGATGCGAATTCCAACAGACTTGGGAAGCGGACCTCTGGTAGTCCACAGCGGATTGGGTCTGCATCTGCTGGATTATCTCCAACAACAGGCATATGCAAGGAGTCAAAAGTCGAGCGTTTGAGTACTGGTGATGTAGCAAGTTGTGTGCCTGGCAGTGTAAATGAACAATGGGATGAAAGTGTACTTGTGTCAAGTTCCAAAATCCACCTCTCTTGCGAGGTGAGTTCCTAGTTTTGTGAGTTAGGGTGAATTTGCCACTGATAGTGGTGAGTCGTAAAAATTCTGGAAGATAGCAAGTAACAAAGGGCCCTTGCAGGGTAATGTAAGCTTGGGGGAGCAAATTTCACGGCTAGGGGATGGATGCCTAAGTGCAAGCAATGTACTGGGAAGTGGCTTGCCTGACAAATCGCAGGTGGAGTACAAAAGTTGCTCTTCCATTTCACTGATGCATTTTCATTCCTCTATATTTACTAACCGAAATATTATCATTGATTATGCACTTTCTCTTTCAGTCTTCATTTACATTTTCTTTTTGTTAGGATCATTCCGACTACTGAAGAGCTGGAATGTTGTTGATATTATTCAGAATATTCATGAAGTTGGGTTCTTAAATTTGTAAGCATGTCAAACCTCATGCAGGTCTTGCAAAATACAAGAGCAGAGGGTGCATTGGTTAAATCTTCCGGTTTTAAGTATGTTATTTTACGGAAGATGAAAAACGTCTCATTGTTTTGGAAGGTCTCAAGTTTTTAAGTCTGTGTTTCGAAAGCCTACTTCACTGATGAAATTCTTGCTCATGTTCAAGATTTCATGACTTGATCTTTTGCGATTTCATAACTCTGATTGCTTTATTTTACTCATAAAGTCACTAACAACTTCATGCATGATTAATCATCTTGCTAACAATGAGAGATATTGCATGCATAGTTATCTATGTACTCCCCACCCCACCACCACGGTTTTCTTTCTCAGTATCAAACTTAAGTATTCCTTGTTCTTTTCTGCTGTGTAGCCAAATAATGCTCTCAAAAGGGTAATCGAAGCATCAAGAGACGGGGCAAGTCCAGAACCTTTGCAGGAGCCAGCAATAAGGCATGTGTTCTTCACGACCTTGCATTTTACGATTTGAAATATGCTATTGTTATTTTTATACTTTCTTTGCTGGTTTGTTTCTGTGATTGGTCTGTAGCAGGCTGAGTCTGGAATCAACAGCGTGAGTGTGGCTGGAGAACGAGTCAAACGAACGAAGCTCGTGAGCAGCAAGCATGTCTAACGGAAAAGTGTCTACTGATTATGCTAGCGGATTAATCTCCTGTATATCGACCTCGACTATTTCTGCAAGCTCTATTTTGAATTGGGAGCCGGGTTCTATGAGAATGAAGAGTTGTGGATTTCTGTATGCTGCAATGGCAGTGGGAAGAGGCAAATTTATTGGTGGTTTTGGAGCCCTGGGTTCTACCTGACTTATCATTGAGAATCTAATTTTCTTTTTTCAAGAGAAAGCAAAAAAAAAAAAAAAAAAAAAAAAAGAAAAGGAAAGAGAAAAGAAAAGAAAAGAAAGAAGCAATAGTACAGTTGTGTAGGCATGAGAACTTTTTTTTTTTTTTTTTTTTTTTTTTTTTTTTTTTTTTTTTTTTTTTTGTTTGCATTAAATATAGTTTTTAGGGTTGGGTTGTAACTTGTGTAGCTGTGTTCCCTGCAGATTTGGATGATAGACCTTTTTTTCTCTTTATGTAGCTCATATTTGGGTATAACTATAATAGTCAACTTGTCAAAAAAATGTTTGGGGATTCGAAATGGTGTTGCAATTTTTAATCAAATTCTTAATCCAATCCAAAAGGATTGTCCAAATATCAAAATATACTCCTTTCATTGCATTTTATGTATTTGGTTCGGTTAACGAGATTTTATTAAAATTATTTTTAATTCAATTTTAGGTTTAAGTGAAGTTATTTTTAATTTAATTTTTTATAATATTAAGTTTAGTATTAATATTAAAAAAAAAGTTTAATATTAGTATATACTAAAGTCGAGTACCTTGTGTCCATTTGGGGCACCTTTGTGGTTCTCTTTTAAGTAAGGTTATAGGCACGCACCTCTGTAGCTCTTTTTTAGAAAAGGTAATAAGATCAAACTTTAGTAGTGGATATTGACTCTTTAGATTACCTTGTAACATAATCAATAGTATTAAATAAAAAAACAACTAAAAAAATATTATTTAACACAAAAAATCAAATTTAAAAATAATTTAAGCACCCAATTTTGAGAAGTATTTGAGATTGCCCTCTTTTATCGGAAGAAACAAGAGAGCTGTTTTTTCTTATATTGAAAACAAGATTAAACACAGAATAAGTTCTTGGAATAAGAAACAAGATTAAACACAGAATAAGTTCTTGGAATAAGAGACTTCTTTCTCAGGTTGGTAAGGAGGTACTTTAGAAAAGTGTGGCCCAAGCTATGCCTACTTTTTTCACGAGTGTGTTTTTGCTTCCTGTGTCAGTTTGTTTATCTATTGAGTGGATTATGAATAGGTATTGGTGGAGTACTTGCAATGAAAGGGGTATTCATTGGAAGACTTGGGATTGCCTTTGTATCCCTAAGAAATTTGGAGGGCTGGGTTTCAAGGATCTTCGTGCTTTTAATGTAGCTATGCTGGGCAAGCAAGCCTGAAGATTTTTTATTAATCCTGATTCATTGGCAGCTAGAGTATATAAAACAAATATTTTCCAAGAACTTCCTTTTTGGAGGCTTCTATGGGAAATTCCCCCGGTCATTGCTGGCGTAGTATTATGGCTGCTCAGGCCCTAATTGGTAGTGGTGTACGAAAGATGATTGGTAATGGTAATTCCACCCACATATGGGGACAACCTGGTGACCCCTGCCCCTTGATTCAAACGGTTATGCCTAACAAGTTGGATGGTTCTTTGGTCTCAGACCTAATTGATCAAACTACTAATACCTGGGATCAGGAAATTCTAACTGATATTTTTATACTCGAGGATGTGAATCGCATTTCTAGGATTCCTGTAAGCCCTGATTATGAAGATACGTGGTATTGGTTAGATGACCCCAATGTAATTTATTCAGTTAAAAGTTGTTACAGGCATATTGTGGGAGACTTTGATAGTACCACTGAGACTTTTTGATAAATGGGTTACTCTATGGAAATTAAAAATTTCTCCAAAGTGGAGGACTTTCTTATGGAGAGCTATCACTAATATTCTTCCTACCACCTCGAATCTGATTATAAAGAGAGTTTATGTAGACCCCTCATGCCCTTTGTGTGGCCTTGTTCACGAAAATGTTATGCACGCCCTCTTATTGTGTGACTTTCCAAGGATGGTTTGGAATGAATCCCATCTACCCATCACCACCATTGTTGACAACACTTTTCCTGTGTGGTTTAGAAATGCAATGACTTGTTTGACTGAGGATAACATTGATCTTCTTGTAGCGGTTCTCTACCACCTATGGCGTGCGAGGAACGCTGCAGTATGGGAGGGATCTCTCCTGTTGCCGCGGAAGCTAGGGAGACAGGTGCAAGGAAGCTACCATTCTTGGAGGCAGATTCACGTTCGGCAAGTGCAGTAGTAGAACAGTCCGCCTGCCGAGGCACCATCCGTACGGCCCAGATGCTTTTTCGATGATGCGTTCAGACCGGATACTGGAGCCGCCACCTTTGGAGCAACCTTATTTGCACAAGACATCATTTGCGGTTGATGGTGACTGGTTGATCACATAACATGTGGTTTTGACTGCTTCAACCCAAAATGAACTTGCCAAATTTGCAGTCTTCAACATTGCCCTTGTTCCTTCCAATATGGTTTTGTTCATCCACTCTTCCACTTCAGTTTGTTGTGGAGTATATGCCACTGTGAGCTGTCATTTAATACCTTCTTGTAAAGTCAAATTCATCACTAGTATATTCTCATGCATTATTTGACCTCAAACACTTGATCATTTTCACGGATTCAAGTTCCACACACACACTTTGAAGATTTTGAAAACTTCAAATACATCTACCTTATGCTTGATTGGATATACCCAATATTTCCTAGAGTAGTCGTCGATGAAGAATACAAAATATTTTGCACCTCCTAGGGATATAACGGGTGCTTGCCAAACATCGAAGTTATTAGCTCCAAGATAGCTTTGCTTCATGCTTTAGAGCCCTTGAACTTTAATCTATGTTGCTTACTTGTAACACAATGCTCACAAAAAGGTAATGAAACATTTTTTAGCCCTAGAAGAAGATGTTGATCAGTAAGAATTTTTAGACTTCGTTTCGACATGTGGCTAAGTTTTTTATGCCACATCATTGTTGATTCCTCTATCAGATTGTCTAATGCAACAGATGTTTCTCCTTGTAGTTGTGTTTCTCCTTTAAGCATGTATAGATTGGCTGCTTTCTTTTCAGCTTTCATCACAACAAGCGCGCCATTGGTTACTTTGATGATCTCATCTTGAATATGAATTTTACATTCATGGCTATCTAATTATCCTAGAGACAATAGATTTTTCTTCAGGCTTTTCATGTGTCGGACCTCTTGGATAGTACAAACCATACAATCAAACATTTTTACTTTGATAGTACCAATACCAGTAATCTCTAAGTCCCATGAACACTGATCCTCGAGAGTTAGGTTCATACTCATAAAACCATTCTCTTCGAGTGGTCATATGCCATGTTGGTCCTGAGTCTATGAGCAAAACATCAGCTAAACTTGTCCTACCTTCAACAATTGTTGTTGCTTCACTAAATAAAATTTCACCTCCATCCAATCTACTCACAACACAACCCTGAGCATTTGATGTCTCAGGACTTTTGCCTTTGGCCTCATCTTTCTTGAGCTGCCAACACTCACTCTTGTAGTGCCCCCTTTTTGCCATAGCGAAAACACTTTGACATTTTTCTTACTCCTCGATTTTGATCTACCTCGGTTGTGACTCCCACTAGAGCCAGACTCCTTTGATCTTCCTCTTGTTACTGTCAATGGCTGATTTTGTTGTGCAATTCCAACTTTATCTTCTTTGTTTTTGCCCTGACTTTCTTCTTCAAGAACTGCAGTTGCAATATCATCGAAGACAAGTACCTCCTTGTTGTTGACTATGATCATATGAATCCGGTAGACTTCGGAGTAAAATTTCAGCATGTTCATTCACTTCTATTTTATAACTCAATGTCAGTTACTAAGGATGTCTCCATCGTCCTGAGAATGTATAGCTTCCTCTTCAAGAAGATCTTATTGTGCAGTGATTTGGTCTCATACAACTTTATGAGAGTATCCCATATCTCTTTTGTCGTGTTTTTTTTTTTTGTTTTTTTTTTTTTTGTTTTTTGCCACACTTGGCATTGTCAATGAAATCGGCTAGTCTTTCTCTAATTGTTGTTACACAGTTATCTTTCCTGAGAATTGCTTTCATTCTCATTTTCCACAATGAGAAATTATTCCCATTGAACTTTTTAATCTCATACTTTGATGTCATTGTGAGTGGTGTTCTTGATTGAAATCCAATAGAACATTACTAATAGCCTTGTGAACAATACACCATGAAAATAATTTTGGGGAAGAGAGGTGACTCACAAATGGACTACTTAAATACCCAAGTCTTAACTAGAGTTTTTCCTAGACATGTTCAATCACTTTACCAGAATGGAGATACCACTCGTTAGGATTGATACGAGTTGAAAGTATCTAATTACAATAGCAACTTGGACGGGAAATATTAAGAGAATTTCTAGTGTAAGATTTAGAATAAATCATACACACAATAAAGCAATTTTGAAGAATTTTCTGTTTGGTAAAAAGATATTACAATAGGAGTTACAATATAACTCTCTTTCTCTCCCTAAAATACTTTGCTATCTACTGGGATGGAATATATTACAATGAAGAGGAATTGCCTATAACCTAAGTGAATCATAACTGTATGTGCCTAGAGATTTACCATTCTTGTTGGAAACATTTAACGCAAACCTAACTCATTAAATGAAATCAAATCCACATTTGGCTTTATTCTTCACAAAGCTAACTCATTAAATGCAAACCCATCCCACATTTGACTTTATTCTTCACATTCCGTCCACTAGAAAGAAAGATAGCAGGATTACTTTAATTTGTGCCCACACCGAACCACCTTGGTGTTCATGTTGTTGGGCTAATGAACTTATCGCTAGCAATAGTGCCAATCGTTATATCGTGCACCAGGGCGCACATAGCAATATGCGCCTCGTGCCTCCCAAAACGACGTCGTTTTGTATTCTGTATTCTCAGGTATAAAATTCTGTATATTCGAAACAGGGGATTTTTTTATTGGACCAGCTATATTATTATTATTGGTTTGTTATAGTTCTGTTAGAGTCTCTAGTTCTTTCTAGCTGTTCCACCTATTTTGGTGTTGAACTCCTTTATATAAGGTTATACTCTTCTGCTCGTTATTCATCGAAATACACTGGTTATCTTTCCTCATTTGGTATCAGACGACCATTATTCGATCCTATGGCCGATACGAATGAAACCAACCCCACTCCCGGTGACTCCTCTAATCCGGCGACTCAGGTTGTGACACAATCCGATCGCCGGACACCCAACGTCTTACAACAAGCACATCATTATGTGTCTATAAAGCTGACAGCCACGAATTACCTGTTCTGGAGAGCGCAATTAATCCCATTCTTAAGAGGTCAGAATCTGTATGGCTTTGTGGATGGCACAAATCCTTGCCCGCCGGAGTTTATTCCCTCTTCAACGACTTCGTTCAGCAAGACCAGTCAATATTGAGTATGTTGTTCTCCTCCCTCGCCGATGAAGTTCTTTACCTCGCCATCCGTCAGTCAACGGCAAGAGGAGTGTGGGTTGCGATCGAGACAGCTTTGGGGTCTACGTCTCGATCGCGTATGCTTAGCCTACTGACGCAACTGCAAGGGCTTCATCAGGGCGATTCTTCGACGTCGGCATATCTTAGCCGTGCTCAAATCCTGGTGGAGCAGCTTGCTCAGGCCGGCCGGCCGATAGGCCTCAACGAACTCAACCTGCACTTGTTCAGAGGCTTACGTCCGGAATTCCGCTCGCTGGTTGCATCGCTCACCACCAAACGCGAACCGCTAACCATCCCGGAGGTCGTGGACCTGCTCAACACCCATAGTTATCTCTATCCAGAAGAAACTGCACCACATGCTCAGCCACCATCGGCCTTACTCGCGCACCAGACGCCGTCGATTCCCAGGAACACACACGATGGCGGTCGCGACCGTGGACAGAATCACAGGGGTCAACGCGGTAGAGGTCAGCGAGGTCAGGGCAGTATCCACTGCCAAATCTGTGACATACCAGGCCACACTGCCCTCATGTGTTACCAGCGATTTGAAGATGCCGGAAGCCAGCGTCAAGCCCATGCACAAGGCGGTGTCCATCCTCAAGCTCATATGGCGTACACGCCACCACCAAGCGATCACTCTTCAGCTCCCTTCTCCAATGTCTGGCTGCCAGACACGGGTGCGAACACACACGCCACACCTAACGTCGATGGCTTAGCTGGGGTAGAGCAATACTCTGGAGGTGAGTCGCTGCAGGTAGGAGATGGCACGGGTCTGGCAATCCAGAATACAGGTTCAGTTTCATTAAATTTCTCGTCTCGGTCTCTGTTTCTAAAGCACGTGTTACATGTACTTGAATTACATGCATCCTTACTTTCTGTCCAAAAATTTACACAGGATAATGATGTGTATTTTGAGTTTCACCCGCGTTATTTTGTTGTGAAGGATCGTACTACTCAGCAGATTCTACTTAAAGGTCCTAGCACGGGCGGGATGTACACATTAAATCTTTCGAGTCCAGTTGCCTTCTTGTCAGCTAAAGCTTCTCCGATGACCTGGCATGAACGTCTTGGTCACCTGCATTCTCAAGTTCTGAGGCAGGTTTTGCCTGCCTGTCCAGTAGTAGGCTCTTGTAGGTCATTAAATAAATTATGTACACCGTGTCAGATGGGTAAGTCTGCGCGCTTCCCGTTGTCACGGATTCCAAATTCGAGTCATTCTATTCTTGATTTAATTTTTTTTGACATTTGGGGACCATCTTCCGTACCCACAGTTGATGGTCATAAATATTTCGTACTATTCGTAGATGACTTCTTGAGGTTCATGTGGATTTATCCCATGCGCCTCAAGTAAGATGTTTATCATATATTCACTAGGTTTCGGTCACTAGTTGAGAAACAATTCTCCCGTTCGATAAAATGTATTCAATCGGATATGGGGGGTGAGTACATTAAGTTAAGTTCGGTTTTTGCAGCCGCAGGAATCCAACACAAGAAATCCTGCCCTCATACACACGAGTAAAATGGCCGTGTGGAGCACAGGAACCGTCATGTCGTGGAAACAGGCCTCGCCTTGTTAGCCCACGGTCAAGTTCCCAGGAAATATTGGTTCTACGCCTTTGAGGCGGCGGTTCACCTAATTAACCGCCTTCCATCTCCTGTGTCGAATGGCACGAGTCCGTTTTATCAACTATATCAACAACATCCCAACTATACGATGTTGCGTGTGTTTGGGTGTGAATGTTTTCCCTATTTACGCCCTTACAACGAGCACAAGATGGACTATCGCTCCAAGTCTTGTGTGTTTCTTGGATACCCTGAATCTTTTTATGGCTACAGGTGTCTGGATATACAATCAGGACGTGTACATTTCCCGCCATGTCCGCTTCAATGAAATGGTGTTTCCGTTCTCACAGCTGAGGACCACAACTGTAGCAACTCCGGCGCCCAGTCAACCTTGGGGGTGTGCTCAAATCCGGACGCATGGCTCGTAGGCAGAGTCCACCGCGGTGAGTCCACCGACGAGTGGCCAAAATCCAGGTGGTATGTTGCCAACTTCCTCCTCTACGGCTGCACCTGCGTCTTCCTCTTACCAACCTTCGACGTCCACCACGACTACGACAAGACGGCGCCGTCAGCGACCCACAGTTCGCACGCATGTTATGAGGTTGCGGACTACCACATATGCTCAACGAAAGAGCCCCACAGCCTTAATTGCTTCTGTTGATGATGATGAGCCCACGTGCCACTCACAGGCTATTCGCCTACCACAGTGGCACGATGCTATGAATGCCGAGTTTAACGCACTGTTACAGAATCAAACTTGGCACCTCGTTCCACCACGCCCTGACATGAATGTCATTGGCTGCAAGTGGGTCTACCGTATCAAGAGGAAGTTTGATGGAACTATTGAGCGCTATAAAGCCCGCTTGGTTGCCAAGGGGTTCAACCAGATACCCGAGCAAGACTATCTTGACACATACAGTTCGGTAGTCAAGCCCACGACGGTTCAGGTTCTTTTTGCCTACACCGTTTCTAACAATTGGATCATGCGCCAACTGGATGTACATAATGCTTTTTTAAATGGGCGTGTCAATGAGGACATCTACATGCGACAACCCCCGGGTTATGCCAACCCGAACTGCCCGGATTATGTTTGCAAGTTGCAACGATCGTTATATGGCTTTAAACAGGCCCCTCGGGCTTGGTTCATTCGCCTACATGACTTCTTGGTCCGAATTGGATTCAGGTCCTCCAAAACCGACGTCTCATTATATATTTATGAATCAGAGACCATACGTGCCTATCTGCTTGTATATGTAGATGATATTTTACTCATGGGCACTGACTCAGCCGTGATTCCGACTATTTTGGACCAGTTTTCTACTGTGTTCCGTATCCGTGATCTCGGCAAACCCAGGTTCTTTTTAGGCATTGAGGCCGTTGATGTGGCAGACTCCATGGTTCTCTCACAGAAACGGTACATGACCGAGCTACTTCGTAAGGCGGGAATGGATTCGTGCAAACCATTTGCCACACCCATTTCTGTATCCGCACAGGCTGCTCACAATGACTCAGATGTTCTGGATGATCCGACTCCCTACCGTCAACTAGTGGGGTCATTGATGTATCTTCTGATCACCCAACCTGACTTACCCTATTCGGTAAACAGGCTCTGTCAGTTCATGCATACCCCGACACAGGGCAACTGGGTCGCACTCAAACGCATACTCCGGTACGTCAAAGGATCATTAGACATTGGCCTCCGTATTAATCCATCCACCGCTCCGGTTCTGCATGCTTTCTCCGACTCCGACTGGGCTGGGTGCTCCGTTGATAGGAAGTCAACAGGTGGGTATGCTGTTTTCTTGGGCCCAAATCTTCTATTCTGGGTTTCCAGGAAACAGCGCACCGTGGCTCGTTCCTCCACTGAAGCAGAGTACAAGGCCCTAGCAGATGTTGCGGCAGAAGTCACTTGGATTCAGTCCCTGCTCTGAGACCTGGGTTTGCTGCCAACAGCTGTTCCTGTTTTGTGGTGTGACAACCTTGGGGCGACGTATTTGTGTTCCAATCCTGTCTTCCACGCAAGGACCAAACACGTTGAAGTGGACTACCATTTTGTCCGAGATAAAGTCACCACCGGCGCCCTAAAGGTCAACTTTGTTTCCACTCACGACCAGTTAGCTGATATCTTCACCAAGCCTTTCTCTGCTGTTTGCTTCACCGAGCTCCGTTGCAAGCTTGGCGTCGTCCCTTGCACCCCGCCAGCTTGAGGGGGAGTATTGTTCTTTCTAGCTGTTCCACCTATTTTAGTGCTGTGCTGAACTCCTTTATATAAGGTTGTACTCTTCTGCTCGTTATTCATCGAAATACACTGGTTATCTTTCCTCATTTTTTTATCCTTTAAAAAAAATTCTGTATTTTCAGGTATAAAATTCTGTGTTTTCTATTATATAATTCTGTACATTCGAAACATGGGAATTTTCAGTTATAAAAATTCTGTGCTTTCGATATAAAATTCTATGTTTTCAGATATAAAATTCTCTGTTTTCTATTATACAATTCCGTACATTCGAAATACGATTTTTTTTTTAGAGGTTAACAATAAACATGTGAAAAAGGTACAAAACGACGTCGTTTTGAGCCAGGGTGCATAATGTGCACAATGCATTGTGCACCCTAGTGCACGGTATAATTTGCAATCACGTTAGACTTAATGTCGACATAACAGTCATTTAATTCCTTTGAAAAGCGAGTTGGTGACTTGATCATCTTGATGATACTCCTGAATCTTATCCAAACATTCAGTCACATTTCCTTGCACAAGTTCAAGTAGGCAATGGCCGAAGGGTTAATAACTCATCCCACAAGAGTTTAAACTTGGTGTTCTTCCCCATATTTTTTGATGATTAAGGACTGAATCTGTGGCCGTTGAAGACAACTTTTTTCCCCTTGTTGGGGTAATCTAGGTTCGTCCTCTTCCTCAATGCACTCGTCATCATCAGATTAAAAAAATCCCCTGTATCTACTCCAAAAGAAGGGTTTTGTCTCCCCCGTATCTACGTAAATTGGCATTCCAAAAAAATAAAAGGGACTGGGAACCCATATGCCATATCTTCCACAAAACAACACCAAAGCAAAAGTTTCATAAATACGAAATTAAAGCATCTTTAAACAAACAATTTTTCTGGTTTTTGTCTAAACACCAAAGCAAAAATTTCATAAATAATGGGAGTTCAAAGTATCAAATTCTTTCGGAACTACTGATCCCAGCCTGCAGGCACAATCGCAGGAACTTCTGTTTCACCAGAGAGTTGCACCGGAGGGGCAACTGCACTATCCCATCCTCCAACAGCACCTAAATCCGGTCCAATGCACAGTACATTAGAAAGGATTTGAAGAAAAATAAGAAAACACTTAAATCAAAATTGTAATTGGAATTAAATACTTGGTAATTGTAATAGGGTTTGGTGGAAATCTCTTTGTTTGGTTGTAAATAAGAATTGGAATCAAAATAGAAATAAATGAATACAAACATATACATGTAAACATATGTGAATTTTAGGTTCCACATTGAAAGCATGGATTGAAACAAATCCAGTGTAGAACATCGCAAACAACACTTATATAATGTGCCCGAAACATTGCTAGAGAATAGTATTATTGAGTATTTCAGTTGGCAACCATATGAACTATAGAGTGATATATAAATGTATCTTTGGAGATAATATTAACAATAAAGGGGAACTAACCGGCATCAGCAGACCATTCACCAGCAGCTGCAGGAACAGGGGGTGGTACATCTGCAGACCATTGTGCCTCGGGAATTTGGCTACTTGACCAGTCACCACCAAGGGTGGCACCATACTCTGGATATTCTGGGAGAGCTGGCACTTCCTCTTCTTGATTTTCCTTGGCCTCTTCAGGCTCCCTGTAGAAGAAGAGATCCGGCTGCCAGCAGGAAAGATTAGAATATAATTTTAGAAAACACAATCTTTAAACTTCTGAAACAACAACAATCATATTATAAGCTATGACGTCCTGTCCCTCTCCCTTTCTTAACATCACTAAGAACCCCACATAGCAAATCATAAAATACATTATTATCCAAATAAGAACTGCATCAATCCATCATCTTCACTTCACCCTTCAATTATTTAACCCAAAATACACCTAAAAGGTAGAAGTAAGGAAATTAATACATTTCAGATTCTTACCATAACATTCCACTTGGGGCCAGCAGGAATAGTTCCACGCATCTGAAGAACCATCCTTGCTAAAAGCCAGAAAAGAAGACCAATGCTGTGCTTCCCTTTGTTATTGGCAGGGATTCCAATATCAACATAGTTCATTGGAGAATCCGTGTCACAAAAAGCAATGGTGGGGATATTGCCAAGGGCAGCTTCCTTGATGGGCTGCAAATCATTCAATGTTCTTAGAATTAAGATTCACAGTAAAACGATTTCCAATCAATTTAGCATATTAGTTTAACAATGCCATGGGGACCCAACCTGGTGATCAGTTCTTGGATCAGTAAGAATGAGCAAACGTGGCTCATTGTAGGATGTCTGAAGTTGATTGGTAAAAGTACCAGGGGTATGACGACCAGCAATGGCATGAGCTCCAGTGTACTGGGCAAACTTCAACACTGCTCTCTGACCATAAGGCCTAGCAGACTGCACAACAATATCTTGAGGATTCTGGATTGCAACAATTACCCTAGCAGCCATTTGAAGTTTTTCCCATGTTTTTCCAAGATTAATGATGTAAATTCCTGATCATAACAATATTAACTCAGTAAGACAGATTCATTTCTCTTCTTCCTCAATTAGTATCATCTTCCATCAATATTCAATATAACCAAAGAACTTGTACTTCATCTGATATCACAGTGACTCTAAACAGAAAGTATCAAGTACAATCACTATCGCTTTATATGTACCCAAAAAAACTCAATATTCAATATAAACAATATGCATAAAATGGACATATATAGAGACAATTTACTATCCAGATATGCAGTATAATGCATGGATACGAAAAATGAGCAGACGTCAATAATCCAATAAATCAGTAAATCTAGAACATATACATCTAAATACAGAGTAGTAAGCAATGCTAATACGGAGTATCTAATTATCATCAGAAATAACCGAAATTAATTTGTTTTTTTTTTAAAAAAAAAAAAGTATCCAAAAATCGTGGAGAGAATGTAGGGGCATACCATCATTGCGGCGCTTGAAGACATAGCGCTCCATCTGAAAGTCGCAGTTTTTGGTGCCGAGGTGGACTTCGGCGGCCAACATCATCTGAATGTCCGACTCCTTCGTCGACAGCGCCATTGTCGACAGCGCCATTGTTGTTTGTTTGTCGGAAGCCTTTCGCTATCACAGTTGAATGTTCGGACGAGCTCCGACGACTACAACCCGCGAGAGACACGGAGCTGGAAAATGTGTGACTCCAGGAAAGGGTGACAACAAAACCCTAAATGCGCCTGTCGACTAACGGTTAAAACAATGTCGAAATGTGTTTGGGCTGAGCTTCAGTCCAAGTCCAGGTATGAGTCTCACTGAAATACACGGCCCAAAACGTTTTAGTCCAGCAATTATATCGTGCACTGCGGTGCATAATCAATTACGCACCGAGCTTCAAAACAACGTTGTTTTGTTTAATGAAAAGAAACGGTACCTGTTTCGCGCTGTTTCACGCCGTTCCGCAAAAACTAACTCTGTTATTCAATTTTATTTTGTATATATTGCAGTTTTAGTTCAACACAATTACAGTTTTATTTCGATATAACTACAGTTTCATTCGATATTTATACACTCAAATATGTGAAAATTTTATTTAATTTTATTTTATATACATTATAGTTTCATTAAAACACAACTACATGATCATTTCGATATAGCTACAGCTTCATTGCACAATTTACACTCAAATATGTAAAATGTTATTCAGTTTCATTTTATATACACTGCAGTTTCATTTCAACACAACTACAGTATCATTTTGATATAATTACAATTTCATTGAGTAATATACACTCAAATATGTGAAAATGTTATTCAATTTCATTTTGTATACAATGCAGTTTTATTTCAACACAATTACAGTTTCATTTCATTTCAATTGCAGTTTCACTTGATAATAAAAAAAAATAATACATGAGGCAATGTCAGTTTAGATACACTGTAGTTTCAGTTGGAAATTAATACACCAAACATGCGCGCTCCATTAACTGTAATGACGCCATTTTTTACCTGCACCGCGGTCCACAGTATAATTGTTGTTATATTGTGGACCATGGTCCAAAAAGTAAAGAAACGGCCGCCATTAAAACTTAACGGAGCACGCATTTTTAGTGCGGTAACTACAAAATGATACTACAGTGTATTTAAAATAAAATTGTCTCACCAATTATTTTTATATTATCAAATAAAACTGTAATTGTATTGAAATGAAATTGTAGTTGTGTCGAAGTGAAACTGTAGTGTATGCAAAATGAAACTGAATAACCGTTTCACATATTTGAGTGTATATTGTTCAATGAAACTGTAATTATATCGAAATGATACTGTAGTTGTGTTATTTTGAAATTATAGTATATATAAAATGAAACGAATAACAGTTTCACATATTTGAGTGCATAATGTCGAATGAAACTGTAGTTATATCGAACTGAAACTGCAGTTGTGTTGAACTGAAACTGCAGTTGTGTTGAAATGAAACTGCATAACAGTTTCACATATTTGAGTGTATATTGTCCAATAAAACTATAGTTATATCGAAATGTAACTGTAGTTATGTTGAAATGAAACTACAGTGTATATAAAATGAAACTGAAAATGTTATACAAACAAATGCTACTTTATGCGGAACAGTGCGAAACGATGTAGATCATGTGCCGTCTCTTTTCATTAAAAGAAATGGCAGCGTTTTGAAGATTGAACCACAATACATTGTGGACCGCGGGTCCACAGTATAATTTTGCATTTTAGTTTCTTGTTCCAAAAGTCAATACTTATTGCGTGGACCACAATTAAAAAATAGCATCATTTTGTGTACCTTTTTTCATGTCACCCGCTGCAACATATATTTTTATAATTTACAATGTATATTATCTACATCTACAATACATACAAATCTAATAAAAGTCAATAATGTTAGGCCCTTAATAGGAACAAAAAGATGTTGGTGTAATTGTTTCTTGAAATGAATGGTTCATATTATTTGGATTTTAGTATATTTTTATGATTTTCCTTATTTACCCTCCATTATATTATTTTCTTTCCTTAATAACCTTACATTCCGTTAGTATAAACTTTAGTAACAGAATATTCCATTAACTATTTACTATTCTTAACTTACTCATTAATCTACTATATATATATATATATATATATATATATATATATATATATATATATATATATATATATATATATATACTAATAAGAGTCCAAGAGAGTTAGACCTATAATGGGTAGAAAAAATGGTGGTCAAGTTTTTTAATCAAATGAATGACTCAGATTGATCAGATTTTAATTTTTTCTTAAGATTTACTAATTTATCCTTAAAGAATATGATTATCTGTTAACTTTTCCGTTATATATTATCTTTACCGATAATTTTTGTTAGTTCACAGTTAACTTATTCATTTCTTTGAATAAGAAAGGTCTTAAGTTCGAAGTTCGAACCTCATCCCAATCAAAGTTGTCATATTTAGTACTTTATTTTACTTTTATTAAATTAAATAATAATTTAGTAGTTACAATAAAAAATAATATATATGCATTTCGATCTTTAATTTAGAATTATATATCTACAATGTTTTTATTCAAAAAAATTATTCATTATCAATAAATTAAATAAGAGAAATAATTTCATTTGTTATATTGTCTTTATTTTTCTCCAATATAAAAATTCTTTACATTCAAATTCATCAATTGATTATATTCGCTACATTGTCCCTACAATATCTTTATTAAAAAAAAATTATTCATTATCAATAAATTAATTAAGAGAAATAATTTTATTATATTATATTGTCTTTATTTTTCTCCAATGTAAAAATTCTTTACATTCAAATTCATCAATTGATTATATTCACTACATTGTATATATTATCTTTTTTGTGCACTATTTTTTTAATTAAATATCAAAGTTATAATACAAAATAATGTTATATATTTATTTACCAAGTATTTTATTAATAACATGAAAAAATTAAGAAAAATATAATTAATAAAGTCAATCATATTAACTACTTGAGGAATTTGTTGACAAAGAGAGTTTTCAAATCACACAACAAATTGAAGTGAGAATTATCTCGTAATGTCCTTGTTTGACAATCAGTAGTTAGCGGTTAGCGTTAGCAGATTATATTAGCTGATTTGACCAGCGAATTATATCAACGGTTGATAAAAAGATATTTGAAAAAATTAGCTTTTTAGATTAACATGTAAAATGACCTAAGGGTATACATATATTTAATAATAATAATAATAATAATAATAATAATAATAATAATAATAATAATTGTTTTAAAAAATAAAAAAAATATAATTAAGCCAATCATATTAACTACTTGGAGGCATTCAAAAAAAAAAATATTAACTACTTGGAGGATTTATTTACAAAAAAAAATTCAAATTACACAACAAATTGAAGTGGAAAACTACCTCGCAATGTCCTTGTTTGACAATCAACAATTAGATCTTCAATATTAGTATATATTTAAAATTTTATGCACTAATTTTTATTTGCCCTCCCTTATGTCCCGTATTTGGTTTCAACCATATCTATACAATTATTTTATTTACAATTATAATCAATCTTGACTATATTATCTTGCATTTATAAACTTAGAATTACCTATTTAAATACGCAAATTCAACATTCAATTATTTATGCATGAACAATTCTAATATAATCCTGTCTTGATATACTTTAAAGTACTTATTAAAAAAAACATTGGGCATTATCCCAATCGCGCAATGCGCGTAAAAAACTAGTTTCTATAAGAAAGGTCTTACGTTCGAATCTCATTTCAATCAAAGTTGGTTCGATTGTTAAACATACACTAAGAATATGTTAAAATATAATATAAAATTTAAAATAAACTTTGTTCAAATAATTAGTCCGACTAAATACATAGCATTCAAAGTTGAGCATCAAAGATTATAAATCATGAACTTTGAAAATCATTTTCTTGCATTTTTCTAAAAAAAATAGGTTAAGTTTTTTTTTTTTTTATTTAATTAATCTTCTTTCGATTATTTAGTACAAAAATCAATATTTCAAGAGATAATTCCAGCAATGGTCCTCTGACTATTATGATTTTCCAAAATTGGTCCTCGTCTTTTAATTTAGACGAAAAAGATACTTGACTTTCAGATTTGTTCCAACATTAGTCCTTCCATTTACTTTCAGTTAGTTAGGCATTAACGTAGAGGCTAAAATGGTCATTTTATTAGCTAGGTCCATACAACTGTAATTTCCTTCCTCTTCTACGGTTTTAGTATGCTTCCAGTTGCGTCACAGCCGGAAAGGTCCATTGTAGCCGCCGCGCCGCCGGAAAGCACGTCAAGAAGAGTCCGTCGTTGCTACCTGCTCTGTTCGTCGAGAAAAAAAAAGGGTCACCGGAAGCTCGTTGAGAGAGCTACTCGCGGGGGAGATCCAGCCGCCACCACTGTTGGTTACCGCCTTCGCTAACCATTGTTGCAACGTCGAGAGGGAACTAGAGCATGAAGCTACCTTCGCTGGATCCATTGTAGCTGTCACACCGCCGAAAAGCATGAAGCTGCTCACGCCAGATTGGAGGACGCCTTCTTGCTGCCGGAAAAACTGCTACGTCGGAGAAGGATGCTCGCCACTACTCCGTGATGTCGGCGGTGAAGAGCTGCTTGCACCGGTCATTGCCACTGTCGCTGCTGCTCTGCTAGCCGAGAGAGAGAGAGAGAGAGAGAGAGAGAGAGAGAACAATGCTAAAATGTAAAAAACGAATTGTAGACGAGCTGGGGACTGAATATTGAAGCTGATTAGATTATGGTTGAAATTTTTTTGGCAGGTATGGCTGTAGCAAGAGACCTATTGGGGAAGAACAATAATGTGATTTCAGTGATTGGAGATGGAGCAATGACAGCAGGACAAGCATACGAGGCGATGAACAATGCATGATTTCTCAATACTAACCTCATTGTCATCCTCAATGACAACAAGCAAGTTTCTTTACCAACAACCACACTCGACGGCCCAGCTATCCTGTTGGTGAACTCAGTAGTGCTTTAAGCAAACTTCAAGCAAGTCCTAAATTTAGACAACTCTTCGAGGCTGCAAAAGTAAATCAACTCTTGTTTATATAATTCAATTTCATATGGAAAAAATAGGCTTAACAATACATATGATCTGTTTATAGAGTGTGACAAAGCAAATTGGAGGCCAAAACCGCCAAGGAGAACGAAGTTGCTACACTGTTCTGGTCACG